CCTGCGCCTCCCGGCGGGGGGGCTGGGGAGCCTCCACCACAGGAGGATCCCAGATTCTGGTCATGCATAGGGGATACATCGGCGACGGCGGCGATGCATCGGCGACTTCGGCGAGGAGAAGATCGGTCTCCACATCGATCCACATAGCCGATGCATCGGCGATGCGGCGCGATCCTCCGACCCCATCTACTCCGACGCCATCGGGGAGGCCCAGAACCACAGAGGGATCCTCCACCACGGATCCTCCACCACGGATCCTCTGGGGACCCTGTCTGTCCCCTCACGCTGTTATCCGCCTCAAACACGCGTCGAGCATCGAACACACGGCAAAGCCGCGTCGAGTCCACGCCGAGTCTGCATCGAATCTGCGTCGAGCCCGCGCCTAGCACAGGAGAAGACAGCAGTTCATGGGGCAGACAACGCCCCCCTGAAGATTCAGAGTACGGTCGGGAATGTTTGCTTAGCGTGTCGCGGCGGCGGCCCCGGCGACACGCTGCACATTGCAAGTGGACAGCGCGTCGCTATGCTCCGCGAGGCGGTAGGCTGGGAATAGCGTCCCGCTGACGCTCGGGGACGGGGACGGGGTCAGCGTGTCGCACCGAAGCGTGGTGGGCCAGAACCAGCGGAGCGACACGCCAAGCAAACGTTCCGTGCCGTTGCAGCCCCCGACTCCTCCCTGCACTCGGGGGCCCTCAGCGGCTTCCAGGGGCCGCCGCTGGCCTTCGGCGGCCTTCGGTGGAACGCGCAGCGGCCCAAAGGGCAGCGGCGCGCTCTTCCATCTACTCATGACGGTAGACACATACGCTACGAAATCTTGCTGTGAGAAGTCCAGGGGCACGTTCTGCGTTATTCCCTGGGCTTCCTACGGTGTCTCAGGGCTCGATCCCCAGAGCCATCGTGGAACAAGAAGCTTCGGTGGGACACCTGCTTGCAGGCTGGTTTCCTGTTTGATACACATCGTGTACAGTCATCATTGGCATCCCCGCGCCGGCTTCATGGTCTGAGCGAGCTGCTTCTCTTTTCGTCTCGCGTTCTTTTTTGTCCGCCTTCGTGCACCCCGCCGATGCTGACCCGCGTCTGACTGTCTTGGGCCACTTGGCACCCGCGGACTTAAAAAGTATAGTCATCGTGCTACCATGAGGAGCCAACGAAGGGACGATGGAACTTTTTCTGAAGCATCGGTTAAGGAACGATGGAACTTTTCTGGCCACGGCGAGTCTCGGTCACGGGCAGGCTCCCCGACCTGGATCCGAGGAACGGCCCGAAAACCAGAGCCCCTCTTGAACCCGAAGTGATCCGGAGTCCTGCGTTTTGACTGTGCTGCCTTCTTCTCATCTTCTTGGTAGGCACGCAGTGGGGACGGACAGAACGGGAAAGATGTCCAACAGCAAATGCATCCCAAAACCGAGCGACAGCGAATCCAAAATCGACAGCGCCCGCAAAGACACCGACAGCGAATCCAGCTGAGAAAGGGCACGAACTGCTACTTGTCGTCGCCTCCAATTATCTCCGCCCCCGTTTCGACCCTCCTGGTCATCCCACTCCTCCACCTCCTCTTCCTCCTCCTGATTCATCTTCTTCTTATGATTTAGTAGTATTCTTCTTGTTCTTCAAAATAAGAATATTACTCATATTAGTGCTATCCTTATTCTTCATATCTTAGTGGTATTAATATTGTTAGTATTGTTACTAGCATTATGCTCCTCCTCCTCCTACTACTACTACTTCTCCTCCTCCTCCTCCGCCTCCTCCTCCTCCGCTTGCTCCTCCTCCTCCTCCTCCTCCTCCTCCTCCTCCTACTCCTCCTCCACCTCCTCCACCAACTCCTCCCCCTCCTCCTCCTCCTCCTCCCTCCTCCTCCTCCTCCTCCTCCTCCTCCTCCTCCTCCTCCTCCTCCCTCCTCCTCCTCCTCCTCATCCTCCTCCTCCTCCTCCTCTTCCTCTCCTCCTCCTCCTCCTCCTCCTCCTCCTCTCCTCCTCCTCCCCCCCTCCTCCTCCTCCTCATCCTCCTCCTCCTCCTCCTCCTCCTTCTCCTCCTCCTTCTCCGCCTCCTCCTCCACCAACTACTCATCCTTTTTCTCATCCTCACCCTCCAACGTCGACTCCGACGACGACGACAGCGACGACGACGACGACAACGACAACAACAACGACCGTCCAAGAGTCGGTCCCTGGACCCGTCCTGGGATCTACCCAGGGCAGCCTTTCACCCCAGATTGACTTCTGAGGGCCTGGGGCCCGAGGCGCCCCCCAGGGCCGAACAAGGCGAAAACGTTCTCGAACCTCGAACCTCGACCGATCTGTCGACGACGACGACAGCGAAAGGCGAACCGATCGCCGCCTGCGCAACCAGCTCGAGACTCTGGACCCGCCGCTGCAGCGGCGCCAGCGTGTCGTCCTCCCCCTGCTTCTCGGCGCGGAAGGTCTGGGGCAGAACAGCTCATCCTCATCATCATCATCATCATCATCATCATCATCATCATCATCATCATCATCATCATCATCATCATCATCATCATCATCATCATCAGCAGCAGCATCAGCATCAGCATCATCATCATCGTCATCATCATCAGCATCATCATCATTTATCAGCATCATCATCGTGATCATGATGATCATCATCATATATCATCATCATCATCATCATCATCATCATCAGCATCATCATCATTAGCATCATCATCACCACCACCACCATCATCATCATCATCATCATCATCATCATCATCATCATCATCATCAGTATCATCATCATTATCATCATCCTCATCATCAGCAGAATCATCATCAACATCATAATCATCCTCCCCATAATCCTCCACCGTCTCCTTCTCCTCCTCCTCCTCCTCCTCGTCCTCCTCCTCCTCTTTCTCCTCATCCTCCTCCTCCTCCTCCTCCTCCTCCTCCTCATCCTCATCCTCATCCTCGTCCTCATCCTCTTCCTCCTCCCCGGCCTCCTCCTCCTCCTGCTCCTCCTCCTCATCCTGATCCTCATCGTCCTCTTCTTCTTCTTCATCATCATCATAGTCAGAATCATCATCATCACCAGCATCATTAGCATCATCAACATCCTCATCATCGCAATCGTCATACTCATCATCGGAAACACCATCACCATCACCGTCGTCGTCTGAATCGCATCATCATGATCATCATCAGCAGCATCGTCGCCGTCATCATCACCAGCAGCACCATCATCATTATCAGAGTCACCATCATCATCACCATCGTCATCGCCATCATCGTCATCACCAGCACCATCACCAGCACCAGCACCAGCATCGTCATCATCACCAGCATCATCATCAGCAGCATCACCATCAGCAGAATCATCGTCGTCAGTAGCAGCATCATCATCGGACTCATCCTCTTCTACCTCGTGCTGCGCCGAATGCCAGCCGCGGCCATGGCGGACCCGCTGGCCCTCAGGAGGCTGCCATCAGCCATGGGCCGTTCCTGGCGGCCACCTGCACAGCACCGCGCAGGATGGGTTTAGCCCGCACATGCTGCTGGCAGGGTCGCCACATCGTCGCGGCAACCCACACTGCGGTGGAGATCCCACGCCGCTGCCTTGTGCAACGACAGCTCGGCGCCCCAGCGCCCGCCGAGGGCGCTGCATACCGCCTCGGCCCTGACTTCTGCTTCCTCCACCAACTGCGCCTGATCGCGCGCCAACTAGCGGAGGTGGCGCAAGGCGGCCTTGCCGCGCCGCCCGCCCATCTGCACGGCCATAAAGAGCACTGGTCAAGGACAGCGGCTCTCAAGTACCGCTGCTTCTTCTTCGTTTCTGTCGCTGCTGCCACCGCGCCGTCGCGGCCAGCGACCGCGGTGCCCGCTTCATCTCCTGACACTGCATCTACGAGCAGTCGCGGACAACCGGCACGCTGCGCGTCTATATCGACGATGGCTTCCTCTCTGCAGGAGACGATGACCTGGCCACAACCGATACAAGAGCTGGGGTGTTGGTGGCCCGTGCCCTAAGTATCGCAGCTCTGGAAGCGCCACGCCCACCAGTCCCAGATGGAGACGTGGGCCTGACTATACGCGTGGTAGCCGCATTCGTTGTAAATGCTCTGCCGCACGTCTTCGACGTCCCTGCTGCGCCTGTCACAAGTCTTCGACGCCACCTCCTCCTCCTCGTGATCATCCTCCTCTTTCTTCTTCTACTTTCCAGCCTCCTCGCCAATCCTCCACCTCACCGTCTTGGCATGCCCACAATGCAAACAGAAAGAATGGGGACGATGACCTACAACAAACGTTGCCCAAAACGTGTGGGCAAGCGAAGGTCGTTAAAAAACGGACGGCGCCCTCAACGACACCAACACCGACACCGACCTCTTTTTCCTTTTCCTCCTCCTCCTTCTCCTCCTCCTCCTGTTCCTCCTCCTACTCCTTCTCCTCCTCCTCCTCATCCTCCTCCTCCTCCTTCTCCTCCTCCTCCTACTCCGCCTCCATATTCCTCCAACTCGTGCTCGTCCTCCTACATCCCTTCTCCTTACAAATAACTGTTCCCTGTCGCACCCCGAAGCCGGTCGAAAGGGCGGGTTGGGCGTTTCGCTTGAGACTTCCTCACCACTCATGATCCTGAAGCTTGAAAGTTGAAACACGTTCACGGACAGAGGGCGGTCCGCTTTCAAAAAGTGTTTCTCGCCTTCGCGCCGCGTACATTCGTTTTAAACTGTCAAAGCGTCACGGATGGAGGGCGGCCCGTTTGCAATATGTGGCTCTCGTCGTAGCGCCGCGCGCACCCGACTTTAAAACTTGTAGGAGCTTCACGGATGGAGGGCGGCCCAACTCAAAATGTGGCTCTCGCCTTAGCGCCGCGCAGCAGAGGGCGGCCCGATTTGGGGGGGGGGGGCCGGTCTGGGCAGTGCCCGGCACGGGGGAGAGGCAGAGAGGCCGCGCGGCGGCGGGAGGCTCCCCGAGTGCTGGCGGCCGGGGGATGGAGGAGCATCCCTGTCAAGCTTAGGTTGGGCGTGTCCCCTTACAGGCGGATTTTCGACGAAAAATGAATAAGAGACCCCCCCCCAAAAAAAAACAACGAATGTTTCTCCTGACACAAAATCGCAGAATCGTCCTCTGACGATTGCTTCGTTATTTTTGAAAACTCCTCCTGTAGAGAGACACGCCCGACTTAATGTAAAGCTTCTCGGGCGCCCGCGCTGCGCTCCTACAACTCCCGAAAATAGGATCGATACCCTGGGGTGGCGAGGATGGATGCCGGAAGAACCGTCCTGAGCGCAGGTGGTTGCAGGGCGGGAAGGAGGTGAGGATACAAGGACGCGTCGAGGCACGAAGGCGTCTGTGCCGTCGCATCATCCACACGTTTCGATGCTGTCCCTGTTGGCTCGCGCGCGTACCGTCCGCATCACAAGCCGAATGAAAAGAGGTCGCGGGCCGATCCGAAGAAAGGTCGCGACGCTGATCCGGCGGCGGGCGGGGGAGGTTGACCGCTCCTCCCACAACTGACGGCAGCCTCGCACCATTGCCAGACGCCTCTCTTTGCTGCTCCGCTTCTCCCGTTCTCCTCGGCACGCCGTTGTTTCTGCCACGGCTGCTGTTGCACGCTGCTAATGTTGCCGTTCATAGATTAATGGCCTTGGAGGACGAGAGCGGAAAGGAAAAGGAGGAGGAAAAGGAGGACGGGGAGGAGGAAAAGGGGGAGGAGGAGGGGGAGGAGCACGAGGAGGACGAGGAGGAGGAGGAGGAGGAGGAGGAGGAGGTGCAACCGCCAAAGAAAGAGATCATCCGACTGGACCCCCCCCCGCCGAACTTCCTGCAAAAGGGGCGGCCAGCCGCACCCGCGCCCAGAGCTAGCCAGCATGAGGAGGAGGAAGAGGAGGGCGGAGCTCGCTCGCTCGCCCTCGCCCAATCAGTTCTTCTCCCAATCTACTCGCTTAGATGGTCGGGAACCTGGGGGGGAAATCGACCAGTTGCGATCGACCCTCTGCTTTGCAAAGCTCGAGAAACGAGCACTGTGCGACCCACTTGGGGTCGGCAGATGACCTACTGGGAGGTCGCTGCACGGGAGGCTGGCCAGGGCCCTCTCAGGCCTTAAGACTCGCCTGGGCCGAACAAAAACAAAAAGAATGGCAGCCCCTGAGAGCTGAGGATCTGCACAAAACTGCTTACTACTTGCGCTTTGGCATAATCTTGCGCGAGAGGTTGCTCCTCGGGGCCTCATTCACTATGGCTTTGCCTCCTGCATGCCCCACAAGCTCCCCAATCAGTGCCTCAACCTGGATCACGAGGCCCCTCGTCTGCATCACCCTCGTCGGGACCTCGAGAGGCGTCATCACGTGGAGCGGGTGGTGAGAATCTGGGGCGGCGGCCAGCATGGCCCAGCGGTCCCCCTCGCTGTCTGGCGCCAGTACCTGGCCGAGGAATTTGAATATAAATATGCTCGTCTGCGGATGCCCTGGCTTGTCGCACGCTGGAAACACCGCGGCCTCCTTGATCCACAACGCCGCTTGATCTGGCCCTGCGGGCTCGATTCGCTCTGACAGCCAGGCGACTCCGAAACTCATCTTCATGCGTCGCGCCAAGGTGTCCTTGAAGGGCCAGTCTTTCAAAACGAGCAGAATTGAGTCAGCTGCTTGCCACGCTGGAGAGCCTAAGTCTGCCTTGGGATCCTCCTTCCTCTGTTTCACGCACTCCAGGTATGACTTGTTGCAATCGACGGCGATCTGGTGTTTGCGGTCCAACATCGCTGTGCCCATCGACTCGCGCTCCAGCAGGCGCACTCCGGCCTCTAGCTGGACGATGAGGGACCCCATGAGGCTCATCATGTCTTCGTCTTCCTCCATCTCTGCGTCGTCTGCCGCTGGTCTCTGGTTCTTCTCCTCGGCGCCCGCGACTTCGAAACTCCCCGATCTCTCTCCGACGGGCCAGCCCTTGCCCCCTGGCGCCCCCCCCACCACCCACCCACCCACCCACCCACCCACCCACCCACCCCGCGCGGAAGCCGCGGCCGCCGCCGCCTTGTCTTGGGCGGACAAGACGCGGCGCCCAGACAGGCTTGAGAATCTTCTCCCACGAGCACTCTGAGCAAGGCAACCGTCGACGAGCACTGGACACAAACTGCCCCCGCGCTTCTCTGGCATAGAAATTCGACTCAAGAAGTGGTTCGAGATGGGTCCGAGCGCGCTTGAGCCAGGACTCAGGCACGTCGAACTTCTCTGCGCGGGCAGGTCATGTCGCTCGGCGTTCCCATGATCCCCCCGACATCGAGCCCCCCGCGGGCACCCCCGATGGCGTTGGCGACATGTTTGGTGGGAGCATGATTTGTGGGCCATCTCGCGTTACAGGCCCCCCCGTCCCCCAGCTTCTCCTGACATGAAAATTATCCCCCGCGTCCCTCCTGAGGCTGCGATTCGGGTTCGGGTCGCTGAATGGGGAACTTTGCTCGCAACTCGTCGCGGTCGGCCCTCTCGAAGTCGCTCGCGCCCTCGAAAAGGACGCGACGAAGTGACTCACCCCCCACCCCCCACATCGTTTGTCCTGCCTCCAGAGCACGAAGGGCCAACATGTCTTGTTCAAGGTGGCGCGCGGCGCGCCCAGGGGCGCGCGTGAGCGCGCGCAGCCCCGCCCATCAAAATTGCACCATCCGCGTGCGACCGCCCGGGGCATGTCGCCAGAAACTGCCGAGTATTGCCACGATCCTGCACCATTCCCTGAAGCCGATGTAGTCTGCGAGTTCGCGGCTCAAGGTAGAGGGGCAACTCTGAATTTCCGAGGGATCTCATGTGCAGGCACGTTGGCAACATGACCCGAAACATCCTGTCATTATCCAGTGCCTCCAAGAATCGCACGGCCCTTGCGCGCGATGAAGGCTTCAACCACGGCGAGGCCGCTGCTGGGGAGTGGCCAAACGCCATTCGCGATTACCTCGGGTCCGCTGAGCGCGGCGTCGACTAGGGGCCCCTTCAACATCGAGCGCTTCACCCCGAAAATGATGCCCTCGGTGGTCCAGAGTCGCCCCATGGAAAAGCACGCGGCTTGGGCAGCGCGGAGGCGCTTCTCAAGCTCAGGTCTTGCGGTGAAGGCACTCGCCTGAATACCTCCTAGATACCGAACATGATGTAGCGTGGTACCTGCTATGCTAGTACGCTTCGTGTGGATGGGTCTGCTAGCTAGATGGGATCCTTCTCCTCTGATGTATGCTACGTTCTCTCGCTCGCCGACGTTCTGCGTGGCTCCCATGCAACGCATTCCTGCGTCAACTGCTGCATTCTCTCGCTGACTCCCTAGCCCCAGATTGTCGATGACGTTGCCTTCTGCGGTGGGCTCGAAAACTTTGTTGGCTAAGTCGTCTACGAAACCTGTCAGGGCCGTCTGCTGAGTGAGGTCCTCGTCGGTGTCCCAGGGGAGGTCTACCTCCACGGCTAAGAACCAGTTCTCTAGCATGTACAAGTCAGCTACTGCCACCATCACGGGGTTGCTGAATGCGCGCGCGAAGATGAGCGTCGCGCCTACGTCTCCAGGAAAGACTCCTTCAGGTGGCCTCATCCAAGACTTCCCAGACTCGTCTTCCAATCAGAAAACCCATCGAGTTACCCTATCTTCTGCAAGCTGAAGATCTCCAGTGAAATGCAAACTCGGCAGGACCCGAAGCACCTCGGAATGTTCCAGATTGTAGAACGCATCGGTAGCGCCATGGCACCTGGCGAAGTAAGCGATTCCTGCAGCTTGAAGGCGGCACGAAGATATCAGCTGGACACCCATCGCAGACTCTCGCCTGCGCCGGCGTAGACCTCCTTGGATCCAGTCCTCAGGCGCCAAGGTGCCCAGCTCCCCGCGCACGGCAGCCGCGCGAAACGTTCTCCCGACTGAGCACATCAGCAGAATGATGCGCCCCCCGCCCACGTCGAGCTCGTTGTTCCCTTCTGGGCAAGCGGGCCGACTGAGCGGCATGCCATATAGCAGGCATACGGTTGAGCTTCCTGGACATGAACAAGATGTCCCGCAGCAGGCCTTGCGTCGCACGCGGCGGCTCAAACTCCTCCGAAGCACTACCAAGACCGAGCCTCTGAGCAGGACGACGGGGGTTGGTCCACATCGGCGATAGGATTAAGCGTAGAGCTTCAGCTGGGATGCTCCAAGATGGATAAGTGCGCCACAACATCATTCGCCAAACATACCTCTGCATGAGGTTCCAATCTTCGCTAGACCGCATGAGTTAACATGTTCTAACACGTGCCGTTCCTCGCTATGCATTTCGATCTCGACATATTGGCACGTGGTAAAGCGAGCTGCGCATCCTCCCTGACATGAGGGCAACTGCATCCGAAGAGACCAACCACTGGCTGATGCTGACGATGTTGCGATGGCGGCGAACTTGCGCTGTCTTGGCCCTCTGCGACGACCTGCGATGAGACGAGCAATCTCCTGCACCAACTACCCATTGTTATCCGTGGCTGCATCGTGAAGCTCCTGAACCCGTCGCGCAGTGATCTGATCCCAATATCGTCTCGCTGATCGTTTGAGCTGTTTGCTCAACTGATGAATAGTGTCATTCACATAATTAAATTCTGAGAGAAGCTCTGAAGTTGTTCGCGTGAATCGATATCCTCGTCGAATGTAGAGAAGCTGTTCCGCTGATCTATGTTAGCACGTCTGGATTGTGTAAAGCGGACTTCGCGGTAGCGTGTTGATTAGTGCAGTGTTGACGATAGATACACATTCGCGGTTCACCTCGTCAACGTTGCCTGTGGCCTCAATCCGATTAAGTAAGTCATATGTGCCATACAGTGATCTCTCCGCTTCATCGAATAATTCCTGTCGTTGAAATCCTTGTTGCAGACAACAAAACACTGCTTCCCGATTCGGCCGCTGAAGTCTGCCTGGTAAGGGACGCTTTGTGAAAACGAATGTGCACTGAAATCTGAATGGGTCGATGATCGAGCGCTGCGTGTGCCTCATGTAGCTGCAGTGCCCGCCCTGCTCCGCACACCACTTGATATGTTTCAACGCATTGCAGGAGTTCCTGCGGAATAGTGATGTGGTCGATGTAGGATACCGAGTTGATGCCTGTGTAAGAGGGCGGATTGCATGCATATGTGTCGGCGGCTGAGAGATTCCATCCTGCCAGCACTGGTCTCAGCAACTTAGAAGTCTGCGAGTCTCGTCCGTACGAGCGGGGGCCGCCAACTGTATCTTCGTCGTGCTTCAAGTTTGTACCAATCATAGGTACAGTGCGCCTCCTGGACATATCCTGCAGCGCTTCGTTTAGCCAGTGGTTCGTCTTGTCGGCCGTCGCCTCGCATGCTGGTCTGTGTGCTCGGGTGGTCTGGCGCGGCGGGCAATACAGTCCAATGAATCCTAGCGGAACACCTCCTGTATGCAAACTCAAAGCAGCACACCGTCCCCAAAGTTGCTTAGGTACCTCATGAACGCGTTGCAATGCCGACCTTAGGAACCTCTTCTTTTTGAGCAAGAGCGTGATGACACACGACGGAGACACGGAAGAGCCTCTCTTGAATCCAAGCTATGCTGTCCAAAACTTCTGCACAAGACGAGTGTCATTCACAAGTGTGCCATGTGACCGAACTGGAGTTCCTATCAACGCATACACATCTCGATTGGGGATGCACGTCGTGACGTCTAACAATCTTGCAATATTGTTCGCAGCACACGGATGACACGATGCAGCAAGCAGCAGCCCTGCGAATCCCGCCATCCTGCTGCCTCTGGACAGCACTGCCGTCACGGGCTCATGGCGAGGTCTACTGCGGCCCTCTGTTCTTCAATGGGGCGAGGTTGAGAGTGGGTGGCGCGGGTGGAGGTGGCCGCGGTTGGGCCACCTGAGGAGGGCGGAGGAGGAGGAGGAGGAGGAGGAGGAGGAGGAGGAGGAGGGAGCAACACGAGGAGGAGGCGGGGGAGAGAAGGAGGGAGGAGGAACGAGGGAGAGGACGAGGAAGAAGGGGGCAGGGGAGGAGGTGGGGGAGCGAGGGAGAAGGAGCGGGGATGTGCGGGCCTCGAGCGTGGCCACGCGCTGCTCCAGGACGCCGATGGAGACGGCCTCTGGAAGGCAGCACTCGACCTGCCGCCACACAAGGTGGGAGAGGAGCTAAGCAAGGCAAGACGGGCATCCCGGAATGCTACGTGCGTGCGGGCAGAAACTCTGGACGTTGACGTTGATCACCCTGCAGGCGAGAGCGGGGAACGAGAGGATTTCAGGCCCACGCGCGGCCCTGGGTTTTTCACCTCGAAGCGCCGATCCAATCCGTTACTAACTCGGCCGAGATGTTGACTGGCGCCCACACGCGTAAAAGAACGAGTGCTCGACGTCGGCGGCACTGGGCAAGGGCGAGATTTCGATGATCCTCCGAACGTGTGCTAGAACCAACGTGTGCTTGTCCAGCGAAGCCCTTTCAATACGACGCAGGCGGTGCAACCCTGGCCGACACAGGCCGAGCGTAGCAAATACACATTGGGCAAACACACATCCTGAGAATCATCGAAGACTGGGGAGCACCAGGTGTGCTGGCCCCTCCTGGGCTCCACGATCTGGCCGAAAACCTCGCGCGCCGCCACCACCCCCCCACACACACATCACCCCTCACGCGGAAGAGTCAGATCGTCAAGCATGCACGGGCATATCAGACTCCTCTTTCACTGCAGCTCTTCTCTGGATGCATCTGCAAAGCTGGGGCACTTCAGTCTTAGACACCTGCTGCTGCGATGGCAGCCGCGGAAAACATAAAAAGGTACATGGAGGAATGAAGCCACACACACACACACCAAACGCCGACCTGATCGCACCTGATCGGGGTTGCTGGCATAATGCACGCGGCCAGTGTCTGACGCCCGCTACACAGCAACGTCCGCCGCGCGCAGTTCAACAGCGAACGAGGGCCTCGCGCGTTACACCAGCATGAAGCACAGCCTATGGCACGCGGGATGCACTCTCGAGGACGGTTGAGCTCGGCCGAAATGCACGCAAGGGTCCGAGGAGCTCTCTGTAACGTTACGTCCTTGACCCGCCCGATTTCACGGGCCGGCGACGGCGCACGCGCGACTAAAGGGCCTGCGGCTGGGCTGAACGCTTGCCCGTGGGTGTAGCTTGGCACAGCTCCTTCTCGCGACACCAACGCGCAGCGTGCAACGTGGAGGCAGGAGGAGAGCCACAGCGGAATCACGTGACCAGTTCCAAACAGACCCCGAACACAAAAATGCCGCCATCCGTTGGGGGGGGGCGCGCCTTGTACTTCCGCCAGCTTCTGCCGGCCTTCCGCCGGCCTCCCGCCAGCCTCCGCCGGCGGGGCCGCCCTCGCCTTACCCACGCCGGCCTCCGCCGACCTTCCGCCGCCCTCCGTCGAAGAAGAGATGCCAGCTCCGCTCCTCGAGGGCGAGCTCTCCTCTGGAGCGCCCCGACGACAGCCACAGTGCGGCTGCCCACGGCTTCCCGTCCACAGTCGCCCCACAGCAGCACAGGCGCCCGGCGCATGGAGCCTGGGCGGATGCCCCGCCCCATGCGCGGCTGCAGCGACTGCTGCGGAGAGGCCTCGACATCCAGGAACTTGCCGTTGCTCGGACGTACATTTCCCATGTATCTGTCGGTTTCGCGCGTGCTGTTTCCCTCGCTGGCCCAGGATGTTCTTCGATGGCCCTCGCTGGGAAAAAAGCACGCGCCCGAGCGATGCCAAGGGAGAAAGACCTCGGCGAGGACCATCGAAAAGCATCCTGGGTCATCGAGGAAAAAACACGCGCGAAACCGACAAATACGCGGGAAATGGACGTCCGAGCGACGGCAAGCTCCTGGATGCAGCCAGCGTGCTGCCAGAAGGGGCGCTGACTGAGGAACGAGAGGGCCTCTTCTGGGCACGCCGAGACTCGGCCACGGAGAAGCTCCCCCGACTGCGTCGGAGAAAAGCGGCTCGAAAGCCGGAGCCCCCTCGGGAACCCGGGGCCCTTCTTTCCGCGCCTCGCCTGCGGATTCTCGCGGCCTTTGCGCGTCGGCTCTCCTCGAAGGCCCAGGGCCCCACCGTGCGGCCCGCGGAGCTCTTGGGCGAGGCGCGCACGGCCTCGTCCGACAGCTCGACGGCGCTCGCCCGCCACGGCCCCCGGGCCAGCACGGGGAGGGAGAGCCACAGGCAGCTGCCACCCGACAAAACGGAGGAGGAGGGAGCGAGTGAGTGAGCGAGTGGGGCAGTGAGTGAGCGGGACCAACTCACTCACCCGCTCACCCACTCACTCACCCACCCGCTCACTCACTCACTCACTCACCCGCTCACTCACGCGCTCTCTCACTCACCGCACACTCACTCACTGAGTGAGTGAGTGAGTGAGTGAGCGAGTGAGACCAATCGCGATGTGGGGCGAGAGGTCGAGCTACGGACGCTTGCGAGCGAACTTCTTCTCGGCCTTGCTGAGAGCCTTCGGCCGTCGATCGGAATGGATCCAACTTGAATGCTCGCGTCGATTCGCATTCGTAGCCTCGAGACATTCGTGCCCCAAGCTCTTGATTTCAATACCACCGTAAAATCCCAATAAGAACCGAACCAGCAAGTTTAAGTTGTTTGTGCAAACACACCCGCTGACTAGAATGGACCCACCCCACCCGCCACGTGCAACCCACTTGAGAAAGGGAGGACAAAGAACCTCCCGGGCATATTCACATGCAGAAAGAACGGGGACTGCATCGATTCACTGTGCGTTGCCAGAGTGGCCGAGCTGAAACACTGGATGCACCGTCTGCCCGCCTCGTCAACTGCATGGCTAGCTGCAGAAATCCTGACCGCAGCAGGAGAAGGAGGGGAAGGAGGGGCAGGCTCTTTTTTTCTTCCGTCTCCCCGAGCTCTCCTTCTCCAGCTCGGCATCTGCGCCCATCGTGTCCAAGGTGGCACGAAGCTGACGTACGCAAACGTCGCCTACATCCCCTTCGATGCCCACGATGCGGAACTTGACGTGGTCGCTGATCCTGACCCTGGCTGCCGCATCGCAGTAAGTCGGCGGCTTCGATACCCACTGCCAGCTGCCGTCTCGACTTTCCATTCACGGTATCCGACCCGCACAAGTGCGATCAACAAAACCGCAAACTGCCCGTAATCCCTGTCGTCGAAAGCCTAACATCTGAGCTGCCATAGGCCTGCACGTTCCCCTGACGAGCGGAGGAGATGCCTGCCAGCCCAATCATCCATCCCCATGGCATTGTCGGCGGCGTAAAATGCAACTCCGCTAGGTCCATGGGTACTGACCCACAGAGCATACAACTCACCTCTTGACACGCTATACCTTCATCCTAGGAGGCCTCCTAACACCGCGCCTGCGATCTGAAAAAATGAAATTGAGCAACTTTGATCACTGCCAGGCGTACCGTCTGAAACCTCGGGTCGGCCGCATCTTCCCCCCGCTGGCGTCGCCAAACTTCCAGACGGGGCGATTCCTGGCACCGTGCCCGAAGGTGATGTGCTCGTCATGCCCTGCTGCTTCTCCAGATGCGCCAGAGCTCCTTACCCGTGGGCGACGCAATCCTGGCCCACTCCGCTGGCAGGAGCCCTCATAGCAGGAAGCGCTCCTCGCTCTCGCGCCGCACGCACGCACGATGGCCCAACTATTCCGACAACTCGCGCGCCGGTGAACCTGCGGTCGCGCTGCAACCGTACCCACGACGAAACATGTCCTGATCCTTCTCATTGCATTATCGGAAATGCCTTGCTGCCTGCCGCGTCAACTCGACGTGTCCTAGACCAGCAGCCTCCTGCAGCGACCGCGCGTAGAACTTCGGCCATCCTGCCCCCATCCAGCAGGCTGACCAATAGTCTGCACAATCGTCTCATCGACAGCATGTCAACGACATGCTGCTCTCCATCACCAAATAATACGCGGACACCTGCTGACACAGCCATAAAAGAATGCTGTGTTGCAGGTCCTGCGCTAGGCCTGCGGGTGCGTCGACGTCGTGGTTCCCTGTCCACGCCAAATCAGGAAACGCCCACTCGACCTCTTCACATTGTGACCCTTGAGGAAGCGCCCAATACACAGCAGATTGTGGGCCCCGACCGTTGTCCAGTAACAACGTGACCATCGTGCGAGGCGGGGATTTATCCATATCCACCGCCTGGGAACCGACGTCCTGGTGCCCCAGCGGGCGGTGGATATGGATAGATTTCGGCCCCCGGGGCCCCAAAAATATGTCCATATCCACCGCCTGCCGAGTCTCCGAAAACTGACCATCCAGGCGGTGGATATGGATAAATTTCCGCCTCGGACATCGCTGATAGAGGCCCTCGTATGTGCCTGGATCTCCGCCCAGCTGGAACTGCCTGCACGTGAGCAACCACTGCTGGCCACTCTGCACTAGCCCATGCTGCCACGTCCGAAACCAGAATCGCACGCACCCATTTGGCATGCGCAACGCTGGATCGCACGGCGCCTTGATCGCCAGAATCGCAGCGAGACAACGGCCTCTCGCCATCGCCCCACATGCTGCTCCTAACCTCCTCCTGCACGCAGTGAGGCATGTGCCAAAGAACCCCTTGGTTGTGGTAGGCATATGACCCCGCTGCCTGCCCCGAGCCTCGCCGGCTTGGACGCGGCGCTATACTTCCGCCCTGATGCCGCTAACCTTCCGATTTACAATGCATCTGAATGCACGTGGGAGAACGCCTCCGCCTGGCGACGCGTACGCGCTGCCTGCCGCCGCCCAGATCACTTCCAAGAAACGGCGCAGACCGTTGGGGCTCGATGCTGGAGCCCGCGCGCCCCAAGGCTCGAGTGACCTTGACAGCGCCATCGCGATGAGAACGCAGCATGACGGCGCTCTTCTTGGTCACCCGGAGCCGCATGTTGGCTAACCCTTCGCAAACCATGATTAGACCATGGAGGATCTCCTCACACGCCGGCTTGCGAGACCCCACTGCACGCTGAGACAAGTCGTCTACCAATGTGCGTCGGTCCCTGCCGCAGGCCCAGCAGGACTCGCGGGTATCGAAGTTGCTGGCGAACCCGCATGCCCGCGTGGCCACGCACGCCTGGGTGGCCCCTCCGCTGGGACGAGACTGCGCGGCTCGCCACGGGGCGCCCCGAGCTGCAAGGCCCTCTGCCATGGCCTCGCCGTGGTGGCCAGCCAGAGCCCTGCGGGCGTCCGCGTGGCGGAGCAGTGGGCCCGCCGTCGCCAGGATGCACCAGCGCCCGCAGTGGCCGCGGGCCGGCGGCGGCTGGGGCCGTCGGAAGCGCCCGCCGCGAGCCCCTGCGCGCGTGGGAGCCCAGACGGCGCCTAGGAATGGAGGAGGAGGAGGAAGTGGAGGAGGAGAGAGCAGGGAAGGAGGGAGGGAGGGAGGCGGGGAGGAGGGAAGGGGAGGAGAAGGAGGAGGAGGATCAGGAAGGGCGTCGGAAGTTCTAGGGGGAGCAGCAGTCCTTGGCAGGCGCCAGGAACGGAACGGGGCCAGGAGAGGGAGGAGAGCGCAGCCACGAGGGGGAGTAGGGGGAGGAGAAGGGGATGCGAGAGGGAGAGGGAGGAGCAGGAAGAGGAGGACGAGGAGGAGAGGGTGCTGTAGCAGCAGGACGAGGAGGTCGAGCGTGCTCGGATGAGGAGGAGAAGGAGGAAGAGGAGAAAGAGGAGGAGGGGCAGCAGCAGGAGGAAGAGGAGGAAGAGGAGGAGGAAGAGGAGGAAAAGGAGGATGAGAAAGAGGAGGAGCAGGTGGGATGAGGTGGGGCCCCACCTTCCCCTCGAGCTCTTCGAACCTGTCCTGCTGCACCATCAGCAGAGTGGCGATCTCGCTGATTCGCGCCTCCTGCCCCCATCCCCGATTATTCTCTTCCCTGTTTCCCCTTCTCCCTCCCTCCTTCCCCGCCGCATCCCCCACCCCCCTCTTCCTCATCATCCTACTTATTCTCGTCATCCGAATCGTCATCATTATCGTCATACTCGTCCTACCGATTATTACCACCACCATAGTCATCGTCATCGTCATCGTCGTCGTCATCACTAGCATCATCCTTATCATCGTCATCGTCATCATCATCAGCAGCATCATCATCATTATCATCAGACTCATCATCAGCATCATCATTATCATCACCATCACCATCAGTATCATCATCAGCAGCAAGAGCATCAACTTCATCAGCAGCAGCATCATCACCAGCATCAGCATAATCAGCATCATCATCAGCATTATCGTCAGCATCATCATCATCACCATCACCATCACCATCACCAGCATCATCATCATCATCATCATCATCATCATCATGCTCACCATCATCATCAGCAGCATCATCATCAGCATCGTCATGATCAACAGCAGAAGCCTCATCATCATCAGCATTATCATATGATGCAGAATCATCATCCACAGCATCATCACCGCCAGTATCACCATCGGCAGCATCGTCAGCCTCATCAGCATCAGCATCAGCAGCAGCATCAGAAGCAGCATCACCAGCATCCTCCTCCTCCTCATCGTTATCAGCATCATCACCACCACCCTCACCAGCATCATCAGCATCAGCAGAATCAGCATCACCAGCATCAGCATGATCAGCATCAGCATCATCATCCGCATCAGCATCGGCATCATCATCACCATCACCATCACCATCCTCGTCATCGTCATCATCCTCACCACTACCGTCATCAGCATCGTCATCATCAACTTCAAAGGCAGCATCATTGCCGTCGCAGCAGCAGCCAGATTCGCCTCCCCCTCGTCCTTGTCTTCGTCCTCCTTCTCTTCTTGCTCCGCCTCCTCATCGTGCTCTTTCTCAGCAGCATCATGACCATCAGCATCAGCAGCATCATCATCAGCATCAGCATCAGCACCATCATCAGCATCATCATCATAATCAACATCAGCATAAGCATCAGCATCATCATAATCATCATCATCAGCAGAATCATCACCACCACCACCACCACCACCATCATCATCATCATCAGCATCATCATCATCAGCAGCAGCAGCAGCAGCATCATCATCGTCGTCATCGTGCCCCTGCTCCCCCTCCCTCTCGCATCCCCTTCTCACTCCGCACCTCATCATGGCTCCGCTCTCCCCCCTCGCGGCCCCGCTCCTGCTTCTTGAGGCGCTTGTCGAGGGACTCCCCCTTCGCACACGGAGAAAGGAAGGGGGAAGGAGCACCCAGGGGGAGGGGGAGGGTAAACGGACGGATAAGCTTCCATCTCGAAAAGACTGACCGATATGGCGAGCATGCGCTTCTCGCACGCGCACGCACACACGTTTCCACAAGACTACAGAAGGTGGTGCCTCCCGCGCGAGCAAGGAAGGGAACGGGAGGGAAGCGGGGAGGGGATGGCGAACAGGGAAGGAGGAGGTGGGAGGCAAGGGGAAGGGGAACGGAACAGAGGAGTGGACGAGCGGGAGTTCTGGGGCTGCCCAAGCAAGCCTCAGGTCGGGCATGTCCTCCTACAGTCGGATTCTGGAGGATGATCTTAAAGTATGCACAAGAATCTCAAACATATGTGTATACATATATATATATACCTATCATTTCTATACATAAATGGCTATAAATGCTTGCACGTGCTTAAACTAGAAAAACACAACAACAAAAACGTTCCCCGACTGTTTGTTTGCTGCTTCTGAAAATCTCTATCTCCCCTGTAGACTGTAGAGGGACACGCCCGACTTAAAGCAAGCCTGGCGATGCCTTGCCTCGGTAGGCCGTCTGACGTCTTGAGCCTGCGGGCGCAATCGAACAGGTGCTGCACACAACCAGCACTGCAGTGCAGAGCCCTCCCCGGGAGCTCGTCCCGCTCCTCCTGTACAAGGGAGCGGCGAGCTCAACCCAGTGAAAGCTTCACGGGGGAGGGGAGGGGGGAGGCCTGGGAATTCGGGAATTTGGGATCCAGACGACGTCAGAAAAGAAACGAGCCACAGCCGACTAAAGCTCCCAGCCGAAAGTACCCAAAGAAGCGCTCGAAATACTCACACCTGGTCTTGTTGAGCGAGAGCGGGTGATAGAAGTCAGCGAGCTTCCGAATGTGGAGGTCGGCAAAAAAACGCACGAAGAACAAATCCAGACTGGGATGAGGACTGGGACAAACGGAGGGGGGGAGGGGCCAGCGGGAAACCGAGGGTGACCAGAGTCCTCGTCCCACGACCCTCGATCGAGGCAACTCGCTGGGGCATCGTTTCGGGACGACGGCCTGGTGGGGATACTTTTTGGTCGCGGCCGCGAGCGAAGGGCGCAGGCGGCGAACAGGGTGTCCGGGCCGACGGGCAAGCCTAATTAGCTACTGGGCGCGACACAAGCCGGCCGGGCCAGCTCACAAGGCGGCAGCTGGGGCAGCAGGGCGGGGGCTCAGAACGCGAAGCGTCAAGAAGTGAGACCTGCCCGCCTTGGATCCAAGCTGCGGCCGGGCTACAACCAGGGCTGCTATTAAGCGAACGAGGCACAAAGGCGAAAGGAACGGCGGGAGGGAAGAGAGGGGAGAGGGCCGCGGACGGCCCGAGCGCCCTCAGAGCACGAAGCACATCGGGTTGTGCCCGAGGCAGGCTCAGGTCCTCGTAGCTGTCACTGCGTCTGCAGAAGCATTGTACACGAGGCGGGCTCAAAAAGCCTGAAGCAAAAACCAAGCCATGTCTCGGAAGGCCGACTTCTTCTTCCGCCGGCTTCTGCCGAGTTTCCGCTGGCTTCTGCCGCCTTCCGCCGAGGGAGAGATATCAACTCCTTCGATCCTCGAAGGCAAGGCCTTTACATGATTGCCTCATACGGATCGAACACATGTTTGAAACCTCGCGGCGCGGCAGAGGCAATCCGCTCGCGCGCTCGGGAATTGCCGGGGGGGCGCTCGGCAGACGAATTGGCCAGCCGCAAGGGAAGGACACGGCAGGGAGGACGGGACGGGGAGGCGCGCGCCCACCGCGGCAAGAATCTCAGGACGAGCGCGCCCGGGGCGGCCAGCCGGGGCCGAGGTGACCTGGCCGTGAGCGCGGGACGGCACCACGGGACCGAAGCCGGGGCTGCCGACCCTCTCGCGACGGCTGGGCAGCGCCTGGCTCCAACAGGCGAGGCAGCGGGGGCGGGGCC